GCAATTAATCTCATGGATTCCTTTCTCTCACTTGAGAATCCATAAATTAGGTCGGCCATCTTAGTCAATCAGTTGTATTTACATCCCAATTTTTTGAATACTAACATGAAAAAAATGTTTAGTGGGCTTCCAATATTTACTAATATTCTACTGAAGTGATAGTGACATAACAAGATTATAATGATGTTAGTGTTGTGATAAGAAATTCTACTTGTGGGCAATTACACATCGGTGAAAGTGATAGGTGGATGAGTGTTAAGCCTTAGAGTGGAAGCAGCTGAACATATTTTTTCAAACCAAGGCTTTCTTAGACTATCTCATTGAGATGAATTTACAACTCCTTGAAAGATTTGAGGTACCATCTCAGCAATGTGAAGAGCATTCACTATGACCAGCTTGTCCTAAATTTCCTTGATTGGAGCATTTCCCTTCTTTTAAGTCATTACTTCTAATGTCACACACTACTTGAGCTTTCCAAATATTTGATCAGGCTTTAAAGGTGTCAAAATTAACTTTTTTCATAGTCATGGTCTGTGTGGTACACACAGTATTTCTTAATATCTCTTAGAAAAGCTTCAATCCTTATCGCTATTGCATTTAGTTGCTACTTTCTTTATTAAATCTTTAGTAGTAAATTTTAGTAAGCATATCTGTTTAGAACTCTTATATGTTTAATTTACAATTTAAATTGAAATTTTTTAAGTTGATTTTAAGAGTTATTGCTTTCCTCGTGGGATCGATACTCGAGTTTTTAAATAAAATCATATATTACTTGAAACGATACATATACGTGCGTAGTACCCATAGTGCAAAAATTAATTATAAATCATTATATTTGTTCACAGTAGCCTCTAGATGTAATTTGAGACACATTTTGTGGCAAAATTTTGGAGATTTAAAATACATGTAATTGCGGGACGAGTCAAGTTTTTGTTATACAACAAATAAATACTCAAATCAAACTCAAGTAGAAATTTAAAGTAAATTTCAAAAAAAATTTCAAAATAAATGTAAAAAGTAAGAGCATACTAAAATAACCATATAGCAATTAGGTTGCCTCATAAGATAGTGCTTGGTTTAATATTCTCAATCTGACATAAATGTTTTCCTCCATGATCAAAATTCCAATTCAGTAATCATTGATCAATCGCCCAATTTTTGGTTGGTCATGGAATTTTTATTAAATCCCAAAAAAAAAAAATTCTTGCAACTTTTCCCTCTCAATTCGATACCAGTGTTTTAGAGGGTATGTAAGGGGTTTATTTAGATTATGGTTCCTAAGGATATTTTATAAATCCAAAATTCTCCCAATTAATTCCTTTATTTGTGTATCAATGTTTTCCTCACAAGTTGGAAGAAGTGGTTCTCTATGAGTTAAATTAGGATTTCTTAAAATTTGGCCCAGATTCTCTTTAAAAGTTTTAGATTTCGGATCTAGCTCTAATTTGTTACTCTCTAGTCTAAGATTATCTTCTAACCTCTTCCCTTGAGGCACTCCGATGGGGGTCTTATAGGCTCAACTATCTCCTAACAATGTTGGGGTTTACTTTGAAAAGAAGAGCATATTATTCTTCAGTCATTGCCAACTAACGCCATTCAACTCAAATTTCTCTTCAGAAGCCAACTCCTTAGATTCAAAATTATGGCTATCACCACCTTCGACATCCTCTAGTTTTCATTGCTTATAAGGTTAGTCAACTACCCAATTTAATTTTTTAGGTTTTTAAAGGTTGTAGCTTGCCTTTGTAACTCATTCCTCATATTTATAACCAATTCTTCCAAATACTCATTTTCTTTAAAGTAGGTATTTTTTCCAATATTCTACAAGATTGGCTTGGGTTCTCCATCATTTGGGGTTTTCTACACTTGGATTATTACTATTCCAATTGAAATTTGGGTAATTTGATAAACTTGGGTTGTAGGTGTTGGAATATAGGTCATCAAACCTAGTTCTCATAACTTGGTGTTCAAAAACTCATGTGAATGCTAGCAATCAATGAGTTGCCATACTCTTGAAAAGTATAAACTGGTTCTGAAGGGGTCGCCGTTCCAAAGTGTTTAAACATTTTTTTATTATTTTAATGTTAATTTTTTAAAAAAAAAAAGAAATAAAAACATGAACAAAATAAAGATAATAATAAATTTTTTTTAAAATTAGACTCTGAGTATTTCAACTAAAATTCTTCTAAGGTTAGAAAATTTTGACTACTATCCCTGACAACGTTGCTAAAAAATTAATGTCCGTAATTGAAGCAAAACAATTCGGTCAATCACGTAAGTATACGTGTCGATCAAGCAATGTACGAAAATGAGTTTGTGTAACGATCCCATGTGGATACTGTTAAAATATTTCTAACAGATGAAGTTCCAGTTTACTGATTACTAAGTCTAGTTTGAAATGCTCAAATAGAAGAAAAAAATCTAAAATTCATAAAAATGTTGTAAATAAAAATGATATCAAAAAGTGTTGAGTTTTTCATATATGTAAGATTCATTCTTCTCTGACACCGGTCAGGTAACTTCTTAAAGTTATTCTATGAAACTCACACTATTGTTGAAAACCAAGGATAAAGATTTTCTCTTTATTCTATGCCAAGGTCAGAAAAAATATCATAAATCTATAACGTTAAGTTTTTCTTAACCTTATAGTGTTTCTGAAATTTCTTCTAATGCCCTATTTAGGTTGCAAAATCCTAACTATAACATGCCTATTCTACCAGGTTTATATGGTTATCCTACCCATTCCACTATGCAACGAACATAATTCATAGTTCACAAAGTATTTTAACAATTTTATCATAACAATAAAAAGTAAATTGCGATCGAAAAGTTAACACATCAACATCAAAAAATTATGCATCGAAGAGGCGTCGATGAAATAAAAATCCACGGAAAGAAAATCACAAGAAAACCACATGCCTTATGTCACAAGAGCATGAATTGAATTCAATCACAATGCATGATAAAAAAAGGAAAAAACTTTTATTGCAGACTTAATAAACAATGATTGCAGTGCAGGAGGTCGAGAACAATCACCTAGAGCCAATCCATCCTTAGCAATACACCATTCTCCTTTTTTATCAATACAAACTCTCACAAATCTCCCCTCATACATATTCACTCAATCCCCCCTAAGAACTTCATAAATTCCTCATAACAAACATGAAAAGAGGAAGAAACAAACAAAAAAAAGCATACTCTTTCGAGCGAACCTGAGGGAGAAACTCCTAGAGCTCCAAAACATTGCTAAATCATAGAGGCTCAGCCCTCAAGGCCAAAAGTGCTTCCATATCGATAAAAATAGATTTATATACTCAGGTCTTGGATTGGAGGTAAAAAATAGGCATACACACTCTCGAAATCGGTCAAAATCCAAAATTTGGACATTTGAGCAAGCTAACGGGTGCAGTTGAGAGGGTGGGCGTGCTCGTGAGCGCACGGGTGCGAGCACACGTGCGTGCGGAAGCTCAACTGCATCATGGGTGACCGCAACTACTTGATCTAGCATGCAAGTGAGTGCACACGATGCTACTGAATGCGCTGGTGCATAGTTAAGGACGCCAGCTATAGAGGGTGTCTGTACGTGCGCACAAGTGGGGTTACACGCAATTGCACGGAGGATGCAAGCGTACAATGGATTTGGGTGCACGAGAATGATAATGGATTGCGCAGGTGCCTGAAGCATGGTTGCACGGAGCAGGTGCGTGTACATGCGGACAAGCTAGATTGCGGACAGGTGCGCAGGAGAAGTGAGCACGCAATAGAGGGTGTTTTTGTGCATGGGCGTGATAGTGAAGTTGCGCATGTGCAAGGAGCATTTGGTTGCATAGAGCGGGTGAGTGCATGCGCACACACATGACGGAGAGCGTGCATGCGTGAGTGCTTGGCCGCTTGTGTGTACTTCTGATTTCATCTTTTTTTACTTCTCAATTTACAAATTTTCATTCTTCAAGCGGAATAAACCCTGTATTATGCACATCACAACAAGAATACATTTTTCAAGCATAATATCATGTTAAATAAAGGAAATAACATGGTATTTGATTTAATGAAATCTCGTAAGTTTACCTCATATCAGTAAGTCCTGACTTCGCAAAAGTCTTCGTTGCTACGAGCAGAATTTTGACCAACGATGGTCGACGATGATCGATTAGTGGTGTTTAACGATGATCAACAACTGCAAAAGGGATAAGCATTCGTCGAATCTTCGATTCGGAAATGAAATGGAATTTCACTCATTTATTGGTCCTCCATTTCAATTTCTTGGTCCTCATTCATTAATGGGGCAAAGCTCTATTTATATAGTCTAGGAGTGACTTCCCCGCAAATAAGGAAGGAATCAGTCCATTCCATCAAACGGCAAGTAGAGATTCCCTGGATGGGATTGCATTATGTGGACATTTATGTGTCTTAACGAAGTGATAATTTAGTGATCTTGGGCCCGTTTGATTCTTCATATCGAGACACTTGATTTGTCAAATTTGGAATTATTTAACCTTCAATTTGACAACTGAAAGCTTCAAAAGTGATTTAACTGCTTTATCTGGGCTTGATCTGACTCAGATTGGATCAATTTTAGTATCATTATATACGTTTTGTTCGACCAATCAGTTTAATTGTTAGTTTGTTGAATTCAAATTTTTCGATAATTTTTAATCTGAGCTTGGTTGTTCCATGTTAAAGAAAATGCTCTAAAATTCTTGTTAATTGCCTCCAGATTCATGTTAAATAACAATTAATTGATGACCTCACATACATACAAGATTCTTTTTATACATGTCACTTTATCTATGCAATTATGTATGCATGAAAAAATTACTTAACTTTTAAAATAAAAAAAGTGATTTTTTTTAAGGTAGTATAAAGATATAAGTAATATAAAAATGTAAAAAATAAAAAATAGTTCTTTGACATGGACATGCTTGCACTAGTAATGGAAAATGGAAATAAAATAAAGAAACCAAAATTAGCGAGCTAAACATATTTAAGAGCCGTAAGCATTCACCTCCCAGCCACACCAGTCAGGCCTTACCTTCATCCCCCACAAAACGCCAAGATGACCACCTTCACACTCAGCTCATTTCAACCATTTCTCTTACTCCTCACCGTCTCCTCCACCCTGGCCATCGCATCCGATTTCATCTTCCTCAACTGCGGCTCCTCAGAGTCTTCCACAACCTCAGACGGCCGCAACTGGACAGGCGACTCCACTTCAACTGTCACCATTACGCCAAACACGTTACAACTCCATGTTCAAACCCTAGACTCGTCGGTTCCGAACCTTCCCTACGCAACCGCGCGAGTCTCCTCCTCCCCTTTCACCTTCTCCTTCCTCCTTCCCCCCGGCCGCAAGCTCATCCGCCTCCATTTCTACGCCGCCGACTACGGAAACTACTCAGCCGCCGATGCTCTGTTCTCCGTCAACTCCGGCCGTCACACTCTCCTTAAAAACTTCAGCGTCTTACAAACCTCTCAATCCCTCGTCATCTCCTACATCGTCCGCGAATATTCCATAAACTCCTCATCCCCACTGATCAACCTCACCTTCACCCCCTCCTCATCCCTGCCGTCCTCCTACGCCTTCATCAATGGCATCGAACTCGTCTCCTCGCCGGATATCTTCAGCGGAAGCATGCCTTTAATCACCAACACTCACAGGACGCAGCCGTACAAAGTCGAGCCCGTTTGGGCTCTGCAGACGATGTACCGGCTCAACGTCGGCGGAAATTTCATCGGGCCCATGGAGGATTCCGGCTTGTTTCGATCTTGGGAAGACGATTCGATCTACATCTACGGAGCCGGATTTGGCGTAACCTACGCTGCCGACAGCAACGTTTCCATTCGGTATCCTTCAAAGATTCCTGAATTCATAGCTCCGTTAGAGGTTTACGCCACCGCACGATCAATGGGTCCTGACCCAGAAATCAATTTGAACTACAATCTCACTTGGATCCTACCTGTAGACCCCGGTTACTACTATTTGCTCAGATTTCATTTCTGCGAGATCCAGTACCCAATCACTCTTGAAAACCAGAGGGTGTTCGATATATTCATATATAACCATACGGCCATTGAAGACTTCGATGTTATTTTAGAATCCGGCGGCATTGGTGTTCCTACCTACAGAGATTTTGTCGTAGCGATTCCGAAAGAAGCAGAATCTCCCGCCATGGTTGATCTCTGGGTAGCTCTACACCCAGAAAGAAACACCCAACCAGAGTATTATGATGCCATCTTGAATGGTCTTGAGGTCTTCAAATTGGAAGCATATGGGGACACTCTCGCCGGGGCTAATCCTGTGGTATCAAGAATACCAACTGGCGATCAAAATACCAACCCAATCACAATAATAATCAATTCAAAAAATGTTAAAATTCGATCGCTTGTTGGATCAGCTGTCGGTGTAGGTGGCCTTGTTGTGGCTCTTGCTATATTCACCTTAGTCTACTTTCTCCACTCCAAAGGGAAAGAATCTCTTTCATTAAATCCTCGCCTTGCAGATCAATGGAAGGTGACAAGCTCTACCGGCTGCCGGCAGTTCTCGTTCGCGGACCTTGAACTAGCCACCGACAGCTTCGACGAGGCACGGATCATTGGTGTCGGCGGGTTCGGAAAGGTCTATCGTGGAACCATCGACGGCGGGGCAAAAACCATTGCCATCAAGCGTGGGGATTCGATTTCCGGCCAAGGGATCGAGGAGTTTCGCAATGAGAATGAGATGCTCTCCAAGCTTCGGCACCACCACCTCGTCTCTCTGCTCGGTTACTGCCATGACAGCGCAGAATTGATCCTGGTATATGACTACATGGCGTTGGGGAATTTAGGCGAACACATCTACGGCAAGAAGAAGATTCCGCCGATTCCGTGGGAGCGAAGGTTGGAAATCTGCATCGCAGCGGCGAAGGGGATTCACTATCTCCACACCGGCGTGAAGCCGGCGATCATCCACCGGGATGTGAAGACGTCTAACATCCTTCTGGATGAGGGCTGGGTAGCCAAAATTTCCGACTTTGGGCTGAGCAAGTCGGGGCCGGAGGAGGTCGGGCAGTCCCATGTGAGCTCGGCGGTGAGGGGGACAATGGGATATCTCGATCCGGAGTACATTATGCTAATGCAGCTGACAGAGAAATCAGACGTTTACGCATTTGGAGTGGTGATGCTGGAGGTGATCTTGGGTCGGCCGGCGCTGGATCCGGCGAACGCGGAGGAGGAGAATTTGGTGGATTGGATGCGGCAGTGCTGGCGGGAAGGAGATGTGGAGAGCGTATTGGATCCTTGCTTGAGAGGTAGTGTGGGAGAGAGTTGTTTGAAGATGTTTATGAGGACGGCCGAGAGCTGTGTGGCGAATAGGAGGGACGAGCGGCCGGCCATGGGCAATGTGCTGAGAGATCTGGAGCTGGCTCTGAGTTTGCAGATGCAGGAATTCGCAGAGGAATCCATTAATGAAGAAAGCCAACAGTTGGTCGGATAAATGTAGAAGATTTGTGTCGTGTATAAATCATAGGGGCAGGTAAAGATCTTGATTTTGAGATTGAAAGATAGGACAAAAGTTCTGATTTTTATAGTTAATGGGGAGAGAAGCTGGCAATAAACATTTGGGGAAACTGTTTATGCATCTCTAGTACTCCATGGAGGGAAATTGTCGGATGCTAGATAAAACAAGCCAATCAGAATATGACGAAATGGACAACTAAAATCAAGGAAAGGCCAGCTACTATCAACCAAAGAGGTAATTAAATAAAAATCACATAATAGTTTTTTTTTTCTTTTTTTTTTAGAAAATCTGACGGTCAGGTTCAGCAAAGAAAATAGTAAGTTAAACACTAGAATAAGAATACAACTAACCAAAAAAAAAATGAATTAACTCTAGATTAGGCTTGCTGGTATCATAAGTTGTTGATATTCAGCTTAAGTTCGGGCTAAATTTTTATGATTATATTCATATTTGACATGATTAAATTTTTAATTTTCATATTTGATTTGTAATTTATTTGTTTATATTAATTAAACAAATATTTAAGTGATTTAACAAATAAGTTAAAAATTTGAATGAGCACTTAAATTTTTATATAAAATTATTAAAATTATATTTTATAAATCTAAGAAAGTAATTAATAACATAAATTGTAGATAAGCTGTGCGGCGAATTAGTATATTAAAAATTTTAAAATTCAATGTATTAAAAAAGTATTTTAGATTATTTATAATTTGGAAAGTCTTATTAAATTAAAGTGCATAAATCATAAGATACACAAGAATTTTTCATATGTGGTTCGACCAAACCCCAAGAACCAGCTTACTGCATCCTTCGTCGAACTCTCAAACTATCATCCCACTATCAAATCAACAAAGCTCCTTCACACTGAGTATAAGTGAAAAATCCTTGCAAATCAAAATCATACATTTAAAACTTTTAAATTTAGTTTGTTAAAAGAAGTATTTGAAATGTTTTTATATTCAACAAAGTTTTATTAAACTAAAAATGAATAAACTTTAAAACACAAGAAAAATTTTTTACGTGGTTCGGTCAAACCCCAAAAACTAGCCTACTCCACCCTTACCCAAACTCTCAGACTATGGTCCCACTACCAAATCAATAAATCTCCTTCACACCGAGTATAAGTGGAGAAACACTTACAAAATCAAAATCACACATTTAAAATTTTAAAATTCAATATGTTAAAAAAAAATTTTGAATGATTTATAATTTGAGAAAATTTTGTTAAATTAAAGTGCATAAAACATAAAACATAAAAGAAAATTTATCACGTTGTTCGACCAAACCCCAAAAACCAGCCTACTCCATCCTTAGCCAAACTCCCACACTTTCCTACTACCAATATAATAATTCTCTTTTACACAACACAAGAGTGTAAGTGGAGAACACCTTACAAATCAAAATCACACATTCAAAATACAAAATCTTTCATAATACAATTTTAAACTAAAAATAAAAAAAAAATACTTTTTAGATTTCGCTAACACTTAGTAGAAATTTGTTGCAAATGAAAACATAAAGAAAAACTCCAATCAATCTTACAACCCCTCGATCACTGCACAAATACTTTGTTATTTGTGAAGAAACTCATGTATGTTTTTCAAACTCGAAAATGTTTCAATACTCTTTTGAAATTTTCTCTCTTGATGAATGATTAAAAACATGAATTTTGCTCTAAGTTTTTTGCGTTATTATCTTTCCCTTACAAAAGTACTTTTATTTTTAGATATACCAATTTTATTGTACAATTGAAAATAATAATATTATTATTATTCATGTATGAAAACCTTAAAAAAAACATTCAACAATTCAAATTTATTAGATTAAATTTTACAGTAAATTTGCTTTAAAAAATGACACAAAATTTGACCTAATTTATATTTAAGGGTAATGTGCAAAATTGAAATGTTATGAAATTTAGAAAATGGTTTAGACACTAGGGGTTTTACGCAAGTGTAAGTATCGTTTCAAGTAATATAAAATTTTCTTTAAAGACCCCAACATTGATCCCACAGAGAAGTGAGGTAAGAATTCCCTTAGGCTAGTTCAAATCTACTACTATCAGGTCTTAGTTTGGAATTTTCCAAAACTTTAGTTTTCCTGAATTACTAATTTTACGCTAAAATTATAATTAACGAAATTAAGTAAAAACCAACTCTATGGAGACTTATTATATTTTGGAAAGATATTAAATAATTAAAATCCCTTTCCCCTTGCGATGAGATTATAATTAATGTATGAATAGAATGTTTAAAAATCAAATCTGGTATTGTCACAAATAAGAGCAATCATATTCTTTATCCTCTTTACAAGCGACAAAGAACATTGCTTAATCCAGAGTTTTCTCGCTAAATCTGTGGTTAGGCTTGGAAGACATCAGCTCTCATCTTAGAGTTCTCACGTTCCCCCCGCCTGAGGGCTAATATCTCGCTTTAGTTTTCAAACATCTAAACCAAATTGGTGATTTTAGTCTGCCACCCTAAAATCGTCAATTTTGCGCCATCAAAATATATTTCTCAATTTATTTGCACTCATCCCCATGAACTACATTCTTATCCATAAACACAAATGTGGTTCCACTTTGTTGAGAATTACATCGCCCTTTCGGATTTTAATGCAATTACAACAAATTTTAATACCACAACAAACCTAAATTGCAATGTAAATGAAGTTCAAGTGAATACCATCACAAATTTTAAAATAAAATAAATCTTCAAACATTTTTAATCCTACAAATAATTAATTCTCATCACAAGGAGAAAGCGTAAGGAAAAACTACTCACTAAGATGAAGAAAACACATGGATTCTTCATTGCAAATGACATTGAAAAACACACAACTTTATTGCAGTAATTCAAAGCAAATACAAAAAGAGTCCAAGAGTTATCTTTACAAAAGATTCAAGCCCTCCTTGCAAAGCAAATAGCAAAACTTAAACTTCTTCTAACATTCCAAAAGCCATCAAGACCCTACAAGAGTTTTCTCCTCTTACACACACACGCGCGCGCGCACCACCTTGAAGAGGCACACCAAACTTCTCTCCAAATCTCTCCTAAGAACCGCTCCTAAACTCTTCATGAGAGGCATCGAGCCCCTCTTTTTAAGGAGACACAAAACACCTCTTCATTTTAAGAGACAAACCTCTTCACTCTAAGAGACACACCAATTCATCTCAAGAGACACACCACTTCATTCAAAAGCTTTTCCGAGTGTCTAGATTCATTGAACTACTCCACGGCGCTTGCAAGTTGTTTAGAATCTTCTAGAACATGCCAGAATGGCCCAAAATGGACAAAAATCCGCCCCTTATCCATTTATGGCTCTTACGTGTCGTCTTCTTTGTCTTCTGGCGCATAGTCTCCACCTTCTAGGCAATTCCACCGTTTTGCTCCGTTTCGGCTCTGTTTTGCCCCATTTCAGCTCCTTTTCGCTCCTTACTATTATACCTACAACATAAGCATGAAAACGACCTTTCTTTAAAGTGTAATTTCATTCAAAAACATGTGATAAATAAAAAATAGATTAAGCGTAAAAAGACATATCGAAATGTGTTGGGTTTGAATTTTCTTGCTCGTTCTGGCTAAAATTACATCATTTTTTTTCATTTTCTCCAAAACTCCATTTCTTATACCTGAAACCAAAAACATACAAAAATACCTTTTTTAAAAGTGTAATATCATTAAAAATAAGTCTAAAGGTGATTTTTAGGCATGTCAAATTCCCCAATACTTAAATGTTACTTGTCCTCAAGTAACACTATAACTTTAAAAACTAAATTTTTTGAATTGAATAGTGGGTTTCAGTAGAGCTTCCTATAATTTTTGTCTTAGTAATGTTATAGAGTAACTTAGGAGAAATTCTAGCAAATCATCCTAGGACTATAGTATAAGAATATCTCATATTCAACTTAAGAATCTTGATTTTCTAATTACTTCAAAAGTTATTGAAACTTGTCAAACTAAAGATTCAAAGAAAGTTTAAAAATAGAATTTAAACACCTTATCTATACCAATTTAACCATTTTTTTTTTTTTTTGAAATAGGAATAAACTTAGGATTGTTTTTAAGTCTTTTTTTTTTTTTAAAGATTCAAGTGAAACCAATTTTTTATTAGGCTTATCCTCAAGCTTCTCCTCACTTTTTATTTCTCCTTTTTTTTCTTTCAGGATCATTTTCAATCTTTTTTTTTCTCCCTTTTTTTATGTGAGGATTACAATATCTAGATAGACCTTTAATGGTTTTGAATTTCACTATCCTCTTTCTAAAATCCAAAACTCAAAACTTTCCCTCACTTCTTAAAAGTGTAAGTATTAGTATGAAAAGGTTTCAATAGAAGGCTCAATTTTAATTAAGTATAAATCTAAGAATCTTAGCTTTACAAATATTCAACTCCTTTTTACCATAAATAGCAAAATCATTTTCCTAATGTTTCCTACAAAATAACTTAACTTTAGAACAGTTTCTTCACATAGGATTTCAACTAAGATATTTTTCTAACATTCTTAAATCAAAATTATAGTAACCTAAAGGTAACACCACATATCACAAGTCATTCTAAAAGTGAAATCAAATTAAATATGGGCTATTGAGGGCAAATAAAGTTAACTTTTAAGAAAATTTCTTCCCCCCAAACTTGAATTTTTTAAGTATTTTTAAATAAGAACAATTAAAAATGATAGGAAGAAATCTTTGAAATTAATAAATACATGATAAAAATTAAATTGAACTAAAAAGGAAGCATAAACTTTCATACATATACTAAGTATAAAAGTAGACATATACAATTTTCAAGTTTGCAACAGAAGGAATTGATATATAAGAAATAAGCCTTGAATATAAAGATAAGTCCATTTAACACAAAAAAAAACTAACTTTCATTGCATAAAAAACAAAGATTCAAGCTTAATTCACTAAACAACACACATATATCAATCTATACAATCAACAAACTTAAAGACATCTACATAACAGAGTTTGACACAAACAAAAACACAATTTCATTAATAAGCACACCAACAAAAATAACCATGGGGTCATGAAGCCCTTGGTTTAACGTCTTCAACCCAACAAAGGATTCCACCAGGATCAAAACTCCATTTATGTAATCCTTGATCAATCGTCTAATCTTTTTTAGATCCTGGAATTCCTACTAAATCCTCAAATTGTAGTTTTTCTTTCACCTTTTCCTTTTCATATTGATTCAGATTATAATTCCTCATTTTTCTTTCTAGATCCAATATTCTTCCAATAATTTTCTCAATTTGCATATTGTTTTCATCCTTAAATTTTTTAAGAAATTCATCTCTATATGATAATCAAGATCTCTC